TGTATTTTCTCAGATTTTTGGAGAGGAGATCCTCTCCTTAGCAAAGCCCGTTCTCGTTCTACATCATGGAGTCAACAATCAATCTATCCATATAATGGTACAATTCTATGAGGTGTGCGCCTCATGACATTTTTGGTTCAAATTGCTCTAAGACCTCGTATTGCATAATTTTAAATAACGACATAGGTTGGGGCAGAACATTAATGGTTGAAGGCATCAGACATAGATATGACTTCAGTATCTAGTAAGATCACCTATGTAAGCTCTAGCTCAAACCTATCCTTAGGGATAGGGTCAAGCTCAAGATTAACCACATCATCAGCTTTACCAAAACAATCGAGAGACAGTCTGATTGGTGAACTGGAGATGGAAGTAATTGGATGGAGAAGTAACTTCAGGTTTTCTATTTCTTAGGCACCAGTCTAATTTGGCAGTGAATATTTATTCATGAGGCCTAAATTGATTGGAGACTGGATTAATTTTAAGAGAAGGTAGATCAAAGTGGCTTGGCTTTGCATGTGTATTATATTGAAGATGGAGTGGGATGGCCATATAATATGATCAATGAGTATCATGATATCATTGATGAGAGTATGTATGTATGATTGGTCTGATATTATCTTTGAGGATGAGGATATCGAGGATGAATATACATGATCATTATGATATTATTATATTGATTATAAATTTTTTTCTTTCATTATTTAAAAATGTAGGAGTCATAAGTATCATTAAAAAAAGAGTTAAGTTTATGATAACTCATCATAATAATGTTCATTATAAGAAGCTTGATAGGAATGGTGTATGTCGATTAGATATATGCTTATGGAAATACAAATGTTTATCTGGAGCGGTGAAAGATTATAAATATTTTTCAAATATCTATTCTCTCATAGTTGTTTGATCTGCAGGTTTGTGCACAAAATTCACTCTTTGATTATTCTTGCGGACAAGTGCATGTGGAAATTTCAAGCTGATTTTTCGGCAACATTAGCAAACTCTTATTAACTGTGCATAATCCTTCATGTCCACCAGTTTAATCCACTTTATGCATGCGTCTATCTAGTTTTATGGAATTAACTGCTCATATAGCACTCAATATGGATGAATGGAGTAGCCTTCATAAACTCAAATGGTTAAGATTAATGATGATGATGATTTCTGTTTTATTCAGCTTGCATTCTGTAAAGCAAATCATAGAATGTGCACTTGATTTCTATGCTTCAGTTTAACTGCTTATTATTGTAAAACAATGTTGCAATAAATTATGTCCAACCTTTGCGTGTCCAACTTTCGGTTATCAACTGACTTTTTTTTTTCACCAGGGGTTCATCATATATGGGATGATGCTGTTGGCCATCTGCTAGAGGTAACACTATTACGATTTTTGTTATTGTATAATTTCTAGATCATGTTTTTGCTGGGAAAAGATTATGATTTTTTTTTGCAGCTTTCTGAAAATTCCAACCAACAACTGAGAAACTTGGCCCTTGATGCATTAGATCAGTCCATTTGTGCAGTCATAGGTTGTGATCAGTTTCAAAGTACTAAGCCCTCTGAACTTTTGTTATCTTCTACAGAAGTAAGTAACCTTTTTTTTTGCCACGTTAACCATCAATTTTTAGACCAAATAACAGGCTTAATCTCTTTACAGGTGTGTAACAGTGATGTTACTGACAGACCATTTGAGTGTGCGGCATTGTCTCCCTTGATAATTCTTTATACATCTAGTCAAAGCCTTGATGTCCGTGCAGGTGCACTGAAAATTTTGCTTCATGCCTTGGAGGTATGCCTTTTCAAATTATATGAATATTATGGCCTACTGCTAACATATTAATTAAAAATACAATGCCTTGGTCGTCTCTTAATTTTTGTCTTTGCTTGCAGAGACATGCAGACAAACTACAATTTTGCTGGTCTGATATACTTGATATATTAAGGTTTTATCTAACTCTCTTTCTTGTTCATCATTGTTCTTGTATGCACTACATTAAATAGAGGAAAACCTTCTTTAATTATAGTTATTTCTTACTTAACTTCAGGTCTGTTGCTGATGAATCAGAAAGAGATCTTATCCCGCTAGGATTTCAGGTGGGAAGGGTAAATTTGTTTTCTGAATGCCACATTGCAGCATAAAAAATATGGTCTTTAGTAATTATTTTGAAGATGGATTTGATATATTATTAAGAAGTAGAGTTTATTTTAAATTGAAAAATAAAGCAATTTTGTGATGGAAGATTTTGGGATTAAATGATACAATTTTCATTTTTTGTTGGCAAACTGCAAAAATTGACACACTTTCCTTGAAATATCTCAGGAGTATCCCATCTACAAAGAAATGACCTAAATGCTAATTTAGCAGGAGTATATAACATTTTCCACTTAAGTAGCTGGAGGGACGTAGTATGAGGCAGATAGAAAGAAAATATGGGAATTTATACCTTTTAAAGCAAGCTAATACTAGGACTCCTTGAACCGTCTTTAATAGCAACTTTCATTAATAACAGCATTTTGTTTCTTTTGAAACAGTCAATTTTTTTCTTAATTCATAATAGATTTTATTATTCTATGATGCCTTTCCATAAACTGTGGTTCACCTATCTATAATAGAGAAAGAAATTAATACATTTCTTTATGAATTTCTTGATAAATAGTTATTATGAAATCCATCGAATGCCATGACTGTATATCCTTATTTTTAACATGGTTTGCTTTTCATGTTTCATTGATGTTTGTTATATTAAGGTTTCGTTTAGGACAGCTTTCTTACAGCTCATTAAAGCAGTTTTTTAGTTTAAAAATTAAAAAAAATTACTAGAAAACTATTTTAAGTAGTAAGAAAGCCGTCCCAAACAAAGTCTAAGTGACTACAAATATACTTGGAATCCTGGTCCATGTAGCCATGTACAGACTCAAAGGTGCCTATACTTTTGCACATATGCCCACAATTTCTTGCACACCTTAATTTTATTTTTGTTAGTGTTCTGATACCCTTTTCTTGTGCAGAACATACGGGTTATTATGAATGATGCATTGTCGACCATACCAGTTCAGTGTATTGATGTGTAAGCTTCTTTGCTCATTTGGGTTTTTATCCATACTGTGTATATCATGTGGTAAGCATAATTCATCATGCACGGATTACCCTAAATAATCAAATATGGCTACTTTCATCTTACTAGTTACAGTGACGTGATTTTTTTTCTTTTGTTTGTATAGCCAATTGCCTTGTAGTGTTTAAGTAACACCTGGGTTCCGGACATCAATCTATATTTTCTACTCAGACAACAAATACTGCAAACCCTACAATTCATTTTCTTAAGACCTTAGGAATATATTTTATTGCATGTTCCTTCACATACAATATAGATGGTAAGGATAATCTCTCTAATTACATGGACGTGGGGACTAAAATATAGTATGATTCTAATTGTAGTTATTTAAGGATAGCTAAACTTAGTTCTTGTATTGTATATTAACTCCTAAATATTTACCCTTCCCTAACATATTTCTTGAATATAAAATAAAAACATTGATGACTTGTCTCAGAGTTGATTGTGTTATAGGATAAGATTGTCCTCGAGGGTAGTCTCAATATGAACCCTAGCCAACTGTGTACCTTTTTGTCATTGTGGATTATGATGGACCTGCCTATAGTTGAAACTTGAGAGGTTACCATCTTGTTACCTAAAAAGAGACTATTTGTTGACTAATTTAAAATAAAAAGAAAAAAGGCAACATCTCGGAATAAAAAAGAATGAAGAAACCGAAAATCAAAGAGATGTATCTCTTCACAAAGTCTCCTTTGTTGCCTCCTTCGATATGCTCAAATGATGCAGCTCTTCGCTACCGTAACTCTCCTTTGGCAATCTACTTGATAAAAATTTGATGAAACAGAAAAAAAAAAAAGAAAAAATAAAGAAAAAACTTACGTCTCTTGTTCGCAAGTTCTCAATTGATCCTTGTTCTTGATCTTGCTTTTTCCTTCTATGCTTCGTGAAATTAGACCCGTCTACATCACAATTCCACTCATCTGATTATAGCTCCATGCGACAAAGCTTGCCCACATGGTTGCCTGCCAGCTCGCGACGAACCTACCTAGTACTAAGCTCAACCGTGCAGTTATCCCGCACGAGCAGCCCCGCACCTTGTCTTCCGTGTGTATTTCGCCAGCTGAGGCTTCCTCTCCGACCAAACATCCCACGCTTTTAGAACTCCTATCCGATTCAATGGAACACCCTACGGATTTCGCACGAGCTCCTCAAGCTGACCGTTGGCGCCGGTCTAGCCCCTGCTTTCGGCATTAGCGAGGTCTAGATTGTGCTCATCTGTGCCCCTGCCTTACATGCGAAATGCCTCACGCGTGTAGGCCTCTCTCTCGCACCAGTTCGCAATCCCATAACCCACTTCGACTACACATCTTGCTTGATCGAACGCTCAGACAAGCCTACACACCCGACATGTCTTCGCAAACTCGCTCTCCACTCGTTCGCTTACACCCTGATCAAACTTCCAGAACTCTTTTTCTATTATCTCAAAGTGTAAGTGCAAAGAAGAAGGTTTTATTCCTGTCTTCACTTCGTTTAAATGATAATTATTGCTCACTACTATAAACTGTGAGTATAATCAGTTGACTAGGCAAAGAAAAACATGTAAATAAAAAAGAGGGGCAAACATGTATCTCATTGTAGAAAATCCTATGTCATTGATCTTAAATCCGGCTAGAATGATCGAATTGAAGATCTCACGCTGTCAATCTTAGATCTTGCCTGGACGATTTCAAATCGAAGACCTTGTGCCGTCGATTTGAGATTTGGCTAGAACGATTTTTTATTAAAGACCTCGCGCCATCGATCTTGAACATGGTCGGGTTGATTTCAAATCAAAGATCTCTCGTTATCGATTTTAGATCCGGCCGAGAAGAAATAATGGCAATTGTCATCTTAACCGCCTCTTGCGAGGAGTGGATGCCGGGGGGCTATTGAACTTTCCACTAAAGAGGAAAATATTTTATTGGAGTGATTGGAGAGCCAATGTGAACATTTAATTAATCGCAATTAAATAAACTTAATTATACAATTAAAACAAAAATGAAATTTCAAAGATTAATTAATTAATTAATTGATAATCAGTTAATTGATTGATTACTTATTTAAATTAATTAATTGATTGTTGACTTATTTAAATCAATTAATTGATTAAAGAATTGAAGGTCATATTAACTAATTAAATTAGTCAATTTAAAATACAATTAATTAATTTACTTGGAGAGCAATGGAAATTAAAAATCTTTTTAATTAACTAATTGGTTAATTAATCAATTAATCAATTAAAAATGCAATTTAAATTTTAATGGATTAATTAATTATTTAAATTCCATTGGAGCACAACCAAGAAAGAAAACAACGAAGGGGCTCTGGTTAAATTATGCATTTTGATTATTATCAAAAAGAGGGAAAAGAAAAACAATGTTTGTATTAAACAAACCTAACTACAAACTCAAACCAACTAAAAACACCAAACTGCTAAACTAAAACTCTTAAGCTTTCAAACCAAGCAAACTAAAAACTCTATAAATCATGGCTCTTATGCAAGCTGCAAAGCAGTACAAACTCCAAGGTAGTATGAGCTCCCGCAAACAAATGAACAAGAGTCAGTACTGGAAAGAAAACTGCAATGCAAGAAAAAAATAAGTACTATAAATAAAAATGCAGTACAAGAAAGAAAAACAAAGTACTGTAAACAAAATTACAGTGCAAGAAAAAAAAATACTATGAAAAAAGCTAAGTACTGTAACGAGAAACAGTGTTGAAACATGAAAGGAAAATACTACAACAAAAAACATACAAGCAACTTCCATAGGGAAGCCGTAAGACCTACTCAAATAAACAGGAAACTTTCATAAGAATGCCGTAAGACCTACTCAAATAAATAGGCAACTTCTAATGCAAAAGCGTAAGACCTACTCAACATCTAACCTATTAGCTACTTCCAAAGGGAAGCAATCGGTCCTACAAACCCCAGGCTACTTCCAAAGGGAAATAGTATGTCTTACAAACAATGGGCTACTTCTAAGTGAAGTAGTAAGACTCACACTTAATCAACATGATAGGCAAAGTTCTAAGTGAAGTAAACCAACCTTGAGCTAAACATACACAGAAAACTTTCATAGGGAAACCGTAAAACCTATCCAAATAAACATGCAACTTCCATAGGGAAGCCGTAAGATCTACCCAAATAAACATGCCACTTCCAAAGGGAAGCAATAAGTCCTATAAATAAACGGTCTACTTCTAAGTGAAGAGTATGACCCACTTTTTAAATAAACTACGGGCTACTTCTAAGTGAAACAATAAGATTCACTTTTTAAACAAACTCCAGGCTACTTCTATGTGAAGTAGTAAGATCTACTTTTAAATAAACTCCAGGCCACTTCTAAATGCATAAGTCGTAAGACCTATCCAATCAACCATACCACTTCTAAATGTAGAAGTCGTAAAACATACCCGAATAATTAGGCCACTGCTAAATGCAGAGGTCGTAAGACCTACCCAAATAATCAGACCACTTCTAATTGCAGAAGTCATAAGACCTACCTAAATAAACAAAAAAACTTCTAAAGAAGCTATAAGAACTGCTATTTGGGGGACTTCTAAGAGAAGTACTAAACCCTCAACCAACTGCAGACAACTTTCAATGAAAGCTTAAAGACTACTTTAAAAACAAACTAACATGCAACTTTCAATGAAAGCCGTAAAATCTATCCAAAATCTAAGCTAGCAGCTACTTCGAATGGAAGCAATATGTCCTATTCTTAATGAATTCATTAGGGAAAACTTCTAAGTGAAGTAGCTTATCCTTAATCAAAATACATGCTGGTTCTATAGGGAAGCTGTAAGTCCTACAAACCTACAGACTACTTTTAAAGGGAAGCAATAAGTCCTACAAACCTACATACAACTTTCAATGAAAACTATAAGACTTGTTCAAAAACTATATCTACAACCCACTTCTAAATACAAAAGCTGTAAGACCTACCAAAACAAGTAAGCTATTTCTAGTGGGAAGCAATAAGTCCTACAAACCTACATGCTACTTTCAATGAAAGTAGTAAGACCTATCCAAAAGCTAAATTCAAACATACGAGCAACTTCCAAAGGAAGTCGTAAGCCCCATTCTTAACTAAACTAATGGGAAACTTCCAACGGAAGCCGAAAGTTGTTATCCCCAACCTAAATCAACCAACAAGCCACTTCTAAATGCTAAAGCCGTAAGACCTTCATAAACAAACAAGCTACTTCTAAATGCAGAAGTCGTAAGATCTGTTACAATAAAAAATTACAAGCTACTTCCAAGGGAAGCAATAAGACCTGTTGTACGGGCAACTCCTAAGCAAAGTCGTAAGCTTTGACCTAAATCTAAACATATGGGCAACTTCCAAGGGAAGCCGTAATCCCTGTCTTAAACAAAAGATACAAGCAACTTTCAAGGGAAGTCGTAAGCCCTGACATAAATCTATATTTATGAGCAACTTCCTAGGGAAGCTGTAAGCCCCCTCTTAAACAAAACTATCGGGCAACTTCCAATGGAAGCTGTAAGGCCCGAACCAAACCTACGGTCAACTTCTAAACGAAGCCGTAAGCCTTGACCTAATCTAAACAACTAGGCGACTTCTAAATGAAGTCATAAACTTAGAACCAATTCAAACAACTGGACAACTTCCAAATGAAGTCATAAGCCCAAACTAAATCAATTATTGTGTATTCTAATAGATGTAAATCCCAAACCATAATAAATTTGCAACTTACATCTAACCATTTCAGTTTATTTAGAATCCCTGAGAGGAGACAACCCATGACTGCTAATCCGATTTCTTAGACACTATAATCAATGATTGCTAGTGTTGATAGATTGAAACCTACGGTATTCCTGAGATGACAGAACTATGAGATCTTGATTGTGTCTGCCTCCACCCCCCCAACAAACGAGACTAAAACACCTAATACTATTCATCCTTAATCTAGAATTCCCTCTTACGTAATAACAGGGGTAATTAACTGATGTAGGCAAGAGGGGGGGGGGGGGGGGGGGGGGAGGCAATTCATGAGACTAATTTTTTGGCTGCTCGTGGTTCCCGGTTTGGTCTTGGTTGTCCTATTTTTGCTGTGTTTTTGGGAGCTGATGTGCTCTAGCTCATTAATATTGAGCTGTTGTTTTTTCAGCTCGTAAATTGAAGTTATTGGATTCATTCCCCCCTCTCTATGGCCTTTCAGTTTCCCTCCTGGCTCCTTTTTCCGTCGCTGGTTCCTTCCCCCTTGGCTACCTGTTTCGGTTTCCCTGGCTGCCCGTTCTTGTATCCCATGGCTGCCTTTTCCCCTCCCCTAGGTGGTCCCTTCGGCTGCTATTCCAGGCCGCCTATTGGCCTTTTGTTTTCCCTGTCCTGATTGGCTCGGTTGGAGGTAGTTTTGGCTAATTGGCTGCCCTCTTCTCTCCTATAAATATATGATGTTTTGTTGATAAAAAAAGAATGTTATGGATGATTTTTGGAAAGCTAGAACCTGAGGGTTTTCTTGGAAAAGCTTGCGAGCTTGTTCCACTTCCTTTTCTCTTTTTCTTGGAAAAGCTTGCGAGCTTGTTACACTTCCTTTTCTCTTTTTCTTGGGAAAGCTTCCGAGCTTGTCCTCTCTTCGACTTCGTCTCAGGCTTCTTATCTCTTTCTTCTAATTCAAAGAATGGAAGCAGTTTTAGGAGTTATTTTTATATTCTGTTAAGTTTGTTGTTTGTCGCATAAGTTGTAAGTGTTTGTCATTCTAAAGAATAAACATGTTGTTTGTCATTATCATTTGTATTTTGTTATTTTGTGGTAATTTGCGAGAATATCCTATTTTGTATGTAATTTTGGCAATCTTTTGATTGCATCAATTTGATATCAGAGCCTAGGTTAGTATATTCCTAGGTTGTTTGTGTATTTTTTTAAGTTTGATTTCCTAATTCCAATGGAAAACTATGAAGACCTTAAGCCAGAGGTGGGTGAAAATCAGCCTGAAGTTCTTGAATTCTAAATCCCTATGGACAGATGGATTCCGTCGCAAGGAAGTTCAACCGATCCAATTCAAAACTAATTATATAAACTTCAGATGAAGATGCTTGTGTATACAGAAAATTATGTGTAGAAAAAGAAAATTCTGCAAGACCAATTCAAACAAGAAAGAGAAGAGATCCTGAAGAAGTATGCGGCCAAGATTCAGAATTGGATTTGGTGCCTTCATCTCATTAGAAAAATTCTAAAGCATCTTCATCAGAAGATGAGCCCTTTCAACCGGGGAAGAAACTGATGTAGGCAAGGGGGGGGGGGGGGGAATCATGAGCCTAATTTTTGGACTGCTGGTGGTTCTCGATTTGGGCTTGGCTGTCATGTTTTTGCTGTGTTTTTGGGAGCTACTGTGCTACAGCTCATTAATGTTGAGCTGCTGTTTTTTTCAGCTCATAAATTGAAGTTATTAGATTCATTCCCTCCTCTCTGTGGCCTTTCAGTTTCCCCCCATGGCTCCTTTTCCCGTGGCTGGTTCTTTCCCCCCTTGGCTTCCTGTTCCAGTTTCCCTGGCCGCCCGTTCTTGTATCTCGTGGCTGCCTCTTACCCTCCCCCAGGTGGTCCCTTTGGCTACTGTTCTAGGCCACCTGCTGGCCTTCTGTTTTTCCTGTCCTGATTGCCTTGGTTGGAGTTAGTTTTGGTTGTTTGGCTACGCTCTTCTCTCCTATAAATATATGATGTTTTGTTGATAAAAAAGAATGTTATGGATGATTTTTGGAAAGCTAAAACCTGAGGCTTTTCTTGGAAAAAGCTCGTGAGCTTGTTCCACTTCCTTTATCTCTTCTTCTTGGGAAAGCTTGCGAGCTTGTCCTCTCTTCGATTTCGACCCGGGCTTCTTATCTCTTTCTTATCTCCGCAAGTTCCACGTCATTTGTATCTTTCTTCTCAAGTGATGTAAAAATAAGTTTAGGTGTTTTATGGTATAAGTTTGTATGTGTCATCTTTCTAATATAAAAGTTAAGTTGTTTTTTTTTATTTAAATGATGTATTTTGTCATTTTGTGGTATTCTAAAAGAAATACCTAGTTTTCTTGTAATTTTTTATTGCATCATTAACTATGACGTCTTGCGCTCATAGGAAGTAAGAACTCAGATCTAATTAAACCTTGATCCAATCCTCAGGGGAAATATGGTGAACTACAATTTGCCTTAAGGACAATGAAATCCTAACTCTGCAAAGTGGGATTCATGCCGAAGCACCATTTTTCTTGAAGTGTATAATCTTACCCACAATAAACATCAAGTAGTTGATTACTCACAAAATTAATAAGTAAAAAGATGCATCTTTGTTGTCCATCAACCCTTCCAGATGTTGTAGTTTTTCATATAATTGCCTAGTCATAGATGCATAAGAATTACTGGAGATCAGTGCATGCTTACACACGAAGTATTGAAGGCTGCGTGATGACAAAAAGGGCGTAGGCATGTATAATTTTATGCATGTCTGGCTGGATGTGTCAGTGTGTATGTGTAAGCATACACAGAACCCTATTTGTTTTTCTGTATGCATTTTCTTGTGTTCTTGGAATCCCCTGAAATTTAGATTGTTTTCATTGTCTTGGTTTTTTCTAGTTTAATTGTGTTAGCAAAACATATCTTTTCATATGTAGCAAAATCTCTTCACCTCCTATTGGTTCACCTCTTGAATATTATATTTAAATATTTGGACTTCTGGGAAAACTTGAATTTTATATACATCATGACATCTGAATCAAAAGTAGAGGCGCTGAATCGTGGCCGTCGATCTGCGGTTTCGCCGGCGATAAACATGTCGGTAGTGTCTGTCGATGTCCTCATCAACCTTACTTTCTTCTTTGTAGATTGTGCTGCCTAATCTTATGGCTTCATAATTCTATTATTTGGCTGTTGTGTTTAGAATATGGCCTTCATTAGTATGTACCATTAGTTGAAAGTTCTTGCGCTAGTATAATTGGTAACTTAAGTGACTCCGGGTTGAACATTTTATTCTGACATATTTTCAAACCAATCAAGCAGATGTATAGAAGTCACTGGGGCATACGGTGCTCAGAAAACAGATTTAAATATAAGTTTGACGGCTATTGGACTTCTCTGGACTGCAACTGATTTTATTGCAAAAGGTTTATTTCGGAGGAATTATGAAGAAACAACTAATAAAAATGAAAATGGTATTCTTTCACTTTGTTACAACTTGCAAGTGATAGATTACTGTGAACAAAAATTAAACTAAATTTTGTGTATGCTAAGCTTTCCTTTTCCTTTAATATCTTACAGATGCTACATCTGAAGTTGATAAAATTTCAAGGCATACAGATGGATTTGGTGCTTCAGAAAATGAACAGATTGTCAGTTTCAATAACAGTTTTCATGACTCAATGCACTCCTCAAAAGGGCTTGACCGAAACAAATTGCTATTTTCAGTTTTCTCTATACTTCTAAAACTAGGATCAGATGAGAGGCCTGAGGTATGTAAACTCTTTTTTTGAACCTTCCTCTTCTTTCCCACTCATGCTCTCTTCCTCTCTCCTCACCTGCTATCTTGCTAAATATCGCTTTTCTTTGGTTAATTTTCTTTTCAAGATAGATTAGTAGATATATTGGTTTTAGCTTTTCAATATCTGAGGTTTTTGTGCGTGCTGTTATATTTTTGATGTTTTTGCATAAAAGAAAATTTAAAAACATGAAATTTATTTTAAATATAAGTACATACCTCACATGGACCATAAACTTAAACGACGTCGCTTATGCTCGAGGCGCCCCCTTAATCGACACCTAATGATAAATATAAATACAATCATACTAAGCATTAATGATAGAATATTTTCAATAATCACTTTAATTAAATTCTATTTTCGGATTTATTAAAAATCCAATTTTTAGAAAACCTACAATTTACTAATTCCCTTCCAAATGCATTCCAAAACTTCCCCTTTATTAATTTAATAATTAGTGCTTAATATTTTCGGATTAATTTTATTTTTCATAATTTTTAAATGTCTTTGAAAGCTATGGAAAAAAGCTGACCAGTATAAGTGTTAATTGCAATAGAGGTATAGGTTAAATAAAAATAATTCCTTAGAATATTTACTAAGGCTTTGATTGGGACGATTTTTTTACTGCTTCTTAAATCAGTTTTTTAGTAAAAAAATAATTTGTTTCTACTAAAAAGCTGCTTTAAGAAGTAGTAAGAAAGCCGTCCCAAATGAAGCCTGAGAGAGAATAAAGAGTAGACTTATACTTGGATACCAGAACTAACCTAACCATTTTTTTGTGCTATAAAATGAAGATGAAGCTTATAAATTACTTGTTGCATAATAAACAATGAAACAATTATCTAATAACAATTAAATGCATACTATAAGGTGAGTCAATGGGATGGCGTTAAACAGTGAGATGACTCATCCACATGAGGGTGATAGGCAGTAGCCAAGTACTGATGGGATTCAATCACCTAAGTATGGTAAAGTCCTGAAGTTGAAATGTTAAGCATTTGTGTTGTCTTATCGTTTTCCTATGAGACAAACTTCTAGGTATTTGAGGCTTAAGCCTCAAAATATTTAATTTATAAAAAATGTAAGTAATACCTTATTAATATTAAAATAAGATTATAAAAAAAAGTATCTCCTATTCCCAAATAAACGTTAACAAGAAGTCTAAGCTACTAAGATGATAATTTGTCAATTCATAAGTTTTCTCAATTCTTTTTATTTAGTGGGTTTTCATTAGAATTATAATAAGAATTGCTTTCTCTCATCCATCAGCCCAGTTGTGTCAAATCCTCCCAATCTTCGTACTCATCTTTGTTTTCAAGAATATTCTCTTCCTAAATCAATAAAAACTAATAAGAACATTAATTAAGAATTAAAATAATGACTATGTTGATTATTTAGTTCTTCAACTACATAAATTTTAATAACCTTTTTTTGTTACGTTCTTGGTTTCTTGTTTTATACTTGTTCGTCCAACTCCTCTCTCTTTTAAATAATTCAACATTGAGATCTTTCTCTTGCAATTATGATGATATAACTTCATTGTACTTCTCTACAAATCATTCATCATCTAACTTGAGATTTTTTACAAATTAATGGATCTTCATCATCCTCCAATGGTGCTTTTTTTTTCTGAAACTTTATCTTTTAATTTCTTATTATACAAGGAATGATGGAAAAGACAATTAACAAAATGAGTAGATTAAATTCATGTTGAAGGATTAGGAAGAATATGGGTTGAACTAAAGTTAATTTATATTAAATTTTTGCAAAAAGTTTTTTTTTTTTTTTAAGGTTTAAACCTCATGCAATGCTCAAGAGGAACAAGTGAATAATTATAATTCATAAAACCAACACCAAATAGTTGGTTTTAAGGTTAATGTGGGTTTATGGTGATATCAAATGATAACAATGTGATTTACTTTCATGTAAGGGATTAAGCGAAGTCTTTATGAATTATGATTTACTTTCAGGTAAGGAATTCGGCAATCAGGACTCTTTTTCAAACTCTTGGGAGTCATGGGCAGAAGATCTCCGAAAGCACGTGGGAATACTGCCTTTGGACATACGTATTCCCTCTCTTAGAATGTGTTTCACACTTGGTAAGTTTGATACTTCATGGCCCATTCTTTGGCCTTTGATGAGATTCCATGGATGGAAGGATTTTATATGAGCTTGTCAGGAACTATTTGACAGGCAGCAACTTCATCAAGTGATGAATGGCAAGGGAAAGAGTTAGGAGTTAGAAGAGGAAAAACGGTACATATGCTCATCCACCATAGGTATTTTTTAATTCCTTGCTCCTCCATAATAGCTGTTCTTATTTGAATTTCATTCTGGACTCACTCGTTTAATTTTTCAGTCGCAATACAGCACAGAAGCAATGGGATGAGACACTTGTTTTGGTACTAGGTGGAATAACTAGATTGCTGCGCTCTTTTTTTCCTTTCCTTCAGAGTTTGAACAATTTTTCTGCAGGTGAAGCCCATTTTGTTGTTGCAGTTTGCAATTCTATTTACACATTTTTATTTTCCAAATTAATGACAAAACTATACTTAATGACACGCAGGATGGGAGATTTTGCTACGCTTTAATGAAGATAGCATTCTGAATGGTAGCAAGGAAGTTGCTGTTGCTGCAATAAGCTGTTTACAAACGGTTGTCAGTTCTCATTGTTCAAAGGTGATTTACAAAAAAATATTGTCTGAAATAACTCTGACACACTCACCAACTCCGGAAAAGGAAAAATCTCTTATACCACCCAATTTTCACATGCGGGCAAGCATCGCATTCCTTTTCTACAGATCAGGCAACATGTGTTTGTGCGTGCCCATTGATGCGACTAGGAAGCAAAGTCAACAAAATTGATATGAAGAAAATGCAGGAATACAAATATGAGGCCTGATTTTTTATTACTCCTTCAACAATAACAAAATATACAATTGATCTATTATTCGAGAGGTAGATCGTCTCTTCCACAAATCCTAGCTGCCGTTAGGAAACTCATACCAAAAGAGGAAAAATAAACTTAGAACACGCAAGATGATAACCCTAGACAAAAACCCCTCTTAAATAGCCATAACACACAATAAAGATAATTAAAACCTTCCTAAATAGCTCTCTTTTGATTCCTCCTCCTTACATAATAAATAATACCTCCCCTGGGCCCCACAAGGGCAGTCAAAAATCCCCCTCATGTTGCCCCTGATTCTACCTGGGCTTCCCCTGATGAGAATTGTCTCCTAATTTTCTCGTATGGCTCCCATTTGGCTTGATTTTCCAGCAAATCCTTCCACTTGATTAGTATCTCTTATGCTCTATCTCCCCTAGGCACACTCCTAATTCTAGTGCTCCAAAATGACCTCCATGTCTTTTGTCAAAATCAGGGGTAGTGAAGATTGTGTGTGATCTCCTATTGCACACCTCAACTATGAGATATGAAATATTGGGTGCAATGCTAACGAAGGTGGTAATCCTAGTCGCTAGGCCACTACTCTAATGCGCTCAAAAACTTCATAAGGCCCAAAATATCGTGGGGATAATTTCTCATTCCTCCTCAGGCTACTAATGTCTTTTGCCGGTAGGGTCTTAGCTTCAACTAAACCATGTCTCTTGGCTCGAAGTGTACTTCTCTCCTGTGCTTATCAGTCTTCCTCTTTATGTGTTGGGCCCTCAACAAATGTCCCTTAAGCTTTGTTAATATCTTCCTCCTCTCTTCTAAATACTGATCTACACTGAATACTGATGTAGTGCTATGCCCATATTGCATCAAATGAGGTGGATCTCTCCCATAGAGAATCCTGAAGGGGTTGATTTGTGCTATTGAATAATACGAAGTGATGTGCTAATACTCGGCCCAAGCAATCCACTTTGCCCAAATCTTCGGCGTATCTGATACAAATCATAGCAAATAGGTCTCCATGCTTCTGTTGACCACCTCTGTTTGGCCATCTGTCTGGGGATGGTATGTCGTGCTCCTTTTTAGGATTGTTCCCTATAAATGAAACAACTCCTAGAAATGATTGAGGAACATATTGTTTTGGATTGCATCTCTACGAGCTTCCTCATCATCTCCTCCAACCCTCCAAATTGGCTCTCCGCCCTATTCTCCATGGCTAAAAACCTTACTTCGATGGTTGAGAACTCCTCTATCCTGGATTTGATTTTCTCCACTTGGCTTTCTAATAAATCCACCTTCTTTGCTGCCATATGTCCAAAATCTCGTTCTGATATCAATTTGATACGACTTGGAACCAAATATTACAAAATCGATAAGAAGAAAATACATAAACACAAATATGGGGGCTGGTTTTTTATTACTCCAACAATAACGAAAGATATAATTGATCTACTATTCGAGAGGTAGATCAGCTCTCCCACAAACTCTAGTCGCCGCTTCGAAGCTCACACCAAAAGAGCAAAAATAAACTTAGCACAAATAATGAATGATAACACTATTAACATATCTAATACAGAAAATGCATATGAAAGCTTATTCTCATATTCTCGTACCCCCTCCAACACACATGGAACATTTGCCTGCGTGCGCACACAAAATTTAATGTCATTTAACAACTTTGGTATATAAATAAAATATGCACGTGTAAATTTATTTATGTTATTGTTTGATTCATGACTGAAAGGTGGTGCGATTCAAGGAATGATGGTGCCTAACTAATTTCAATTTATTGATGAATATCAGTGATGTTGATTTTCAATCCGGTTGCTTAAATACCAAAAGAATAATTTGGATTGGAAAATGATGTTTTTACTCAATTGGTCTGTGTGCTTGTTTATTTGTATTGGTATATATGTTCTTGCATTATTCTTCTATATGTATGTAACCGTGTAACCATGCAACGTACAAATATATGTAAACTTGTAGTAATGCAGCACTCTTCAAGTGTGCTCATGCATCGGAATATTTTCTTTTTTTCATTTGAACTAATTTTATCTGGTTGCCATTTTACATGAATTAGGGAAATCTGGCACTGCCATATATAAAATCTATACTTGATGTATATGAGCTTGTACTTGAAAGGTCACCAGACTGTAGTACTAACTCAGCTGTCAAGGTGAAGCAAGAAATTTTGCATGGCCTTGGTAAGGTTCTGGTACTGCTTTGTTTTATGCATTCTACTTTTCCCTATGCGTTTGAGTGACAGCCTAATTTATTGAATGTCTCAGGAGATTTGTATGTTCAAGCTCGGAGTTTGTTCAATACTGACATGTACTTAAAGCTATTATTTACCGTACATTTAGCAGTTAAAAGCTCTATGATCCACAATGATGCGGACAGTGAAATTGTAAGGACTTGTACTAACACTGTTTAGATTTGTTTGGTCCTATAATATCTCGAAATGTTATTCTTGTTCTTCTTGATTTTCTCGAATATACATGTGTGGATTATGCTTGCTAAGTAAATTAAATGTTTTTCTCCAATATACTGCAGTTTTTTTTTTCCATTTAATGTGTTCTTTCACAAAATTTTTTGTACAGGGAATTCTACCTCCATTTCAGCGTACTATTTTAGAGATTCTACCCCTCCTACGTCCTTCTGACCATCTTTCTGCAGTATGGTCTGCACTTCTCCAGGAGCTTCTCTGCTGTCTTCTGGGTTCCGAAGTTTCCATTCAGCAAAAGAAAGATGAGGAATCAGCTACAGGCCTAAACTCCGGAAGGGCTGGTGCAAGCATTGGCAATGCTGAAATTACCAAAGAAAATTGGAATAAAACAAGCATTGATGTTCCCGAAGGTTCTGCTTCTACGGCTATGTTGGTTGTAGAAACTCTTGGTCTTTCTTCTAGTGAAGCCAACCCTTACGAGACTACAATATGTAGCTCGAATCATTTGTTTATGGAGAAGCTGATACCTGTTATAATAGAACTCTTTCTGGAGGCTCCATCGACAGAAAAGTGCAGCATTTTTCCTGAGATTATCAAAGGCCTTGGAAGGTGAGTATTCTTTCTGTTCACTTCTTTCCAATATCAACCTTCAGTTTGCACGGAGCAAAAAATTTAAGGTATTTTACTTGCATTCATAAATTGATGCTTAATGTCTTTGCGTGACAAATAACATTTTCCTTTACCTGCTACCTTTTCTTAGCATATTATCCTGATTTTAACATGCATACTCCTAGTAACTTATACATGGTCTTATTTTATGAAAGTGGTTGAGTATTATACAAGCATGCCTTTGCCAGTAGCCACATTAACCCATCAGGTTCTTCCTGCCTTTGCCAGAAGCCACATTGACCCATCAGGTTCTTCCAATTTAGCCTTATTGGCTTAGAGTTTTCCCTGCTTCCTGGGTTATCAGAGGCTTCCCTCGCCTCTGACGACGCCGTTTTGGTTATTGGCCCTCAAGCAACTTCTTCAACATCTCCTCCAGGCTGGGAAAATTCCCCTCTATCTTCTCGTTGATGGCTGAAATTTGACTTTTGACATCTATAAGTTGAGCGTGGAGATCTGAAATTTCAGTTTTCAATTGTCCGATCTCCCCTTCCAACACTTATACCTTTCTTCCTTCTATGGGAACCTAGATTTAGGCTCCCATAGTAAAGAGCAATAAGTTTGACGCGAATTCTGGCCTCCAATCAGCAAAAACAACAAGATCGGATACGGAACGCAGCAAAATTCAGTGATGAAAACTTCTATTTCAGCCCAGGAAATTGCTCTGATACCAATTTGTTAGGAAACACTTGAAATCTCTTGTAAAACCTAATGCTCTTGACAAAAACAATGAGAACGATCGACCAATCCAAAGGAAAATAGTAGTTTTTATTGGAATAATCAAACTAACGGAAGCAAAATAACAAGATACAATTGATCCTCTATTCGAAAGGAGGATCTATCTCTCCCAAATCTCTAGATGTTGTTAGAGCCCAAAAAAAATCTAAGAGAGATCAAATTTCAACCAAATTGAAGATGCCCTAACTGATGTAGAACGGAAAGCAGGCTTTGCTAAGGAGAGGATATCCTCTCCAAAAATCTGTCAGCAAGCTTAGGTGAGGCCTTGGGAAATTCCAGCCTTGATGGTGAAGAGAAAAACTGAGAAGAAATTTAGATTTTGGAGCCAAAAATCTGAGAGAAATCTCAGGATTCTAGGCTTAGGAAGAAGGGGAATTGAAAGGAGAATTCAAGCTTTGATTCTAGCAAGGTGTACCTCCGATTTTCTCTTGAGAGGGGAGGGGAAGCAAGCTCTTCAGATTTTGCCTGAGAAGAAAAAGGAGGGGAACAGATGGGAGAGGAGCTGGCGGGATTGAGAAATAAGTGGGAAAATTTTATTTCCAAATTCCAACTCTGGTTTTAGCTAGCTTAAGGAAATATTTCTAATTTCAGATTCTCACGTGGAGGGATAGGGAATTAATTTATGCTTTAATTCCATAGGGAGGTTTTAATTTGAGAAAGAAATCAAGAGGTGGGGCATGAGGGAGGTTTCGGCCAAGCAAGAACCAAAGCAATTAATATGGAAATTTAAGGCTCATTGATTTGAATTTAGGAATTTTCAAAATCTGAATTTAATTTCAGTTTTGATTGAAATTGGGGGCAGCTTAATTTGAAAATTGATTTCAAATTAAGAGGCCATTAATGCTTTAATTGGGGGAATTAATGGAAGGAAAACCACATGGTGGCCGGCGGCATGTAGAGAGAGAGGGAGGGGATTTGGGCAATGTTTGGGGAGTTTCCAAAGAAGAAAAATATATTAGGAAGGTTATGACTAAATCCAAACTCTTGAATTTAAATTTGAATCATGCATAACACTTTCCTAAATAAGAATTTTCAAAATTGGAAAGAATTGAAATTCAAAATTTGAATTTCAAATTTGAATCAATCCTTTCTAATTTATCGTAGGGTGAATTATGTAAAGCCATGAAGATATTGAGATTACCGTCATAAGGAAAAAAAGATGGGGCTTCAGGTGAGGCTAGAATCCGGCGGCCAAACGAAGATGGGGAGGAGGAAGAAGATGAATATGACCACGGGGGCAATAAGAAGGAAGAAAATAAAAACAAAACAAAGATAGAAGATAAAAACCGCAAGCCTTGGACTCTTCCGAAGACTGACGGGTGATGCTTTGCCCTTCTCCAAGGGACTTCAAATCACGAGCCCGGACCCATCCTGCGGTTGGTGAAAACTCCGATTCCTTCCCATATGAATCTCACTATCATTCTCTCAAAAGAACACAAGTGTTGACACAAATTTTTAATATCAATAATCCATCCCTATTACAATAGCTTAAGGCCATATATATAGGCCACAATATAAGAAAACTCAAAAATACAAAATTACCCCTTGGGCCACAACACTCACATAAACTAACTTATGGGTAAAACAGGAAATTCATTAAATAAGAACTAAAATTCAGAAAAAAAACTCATAAATGAAGATTTAAATAATAGCCGTCGATTTACGTCGCCTCCTGTGATAGATGCGCCAAATCTTCGTACCGATGTCCGCATCATTCTCCCCATGTGGGAGAATACTCAACTCCGTCGAGTTAGCATCACAACTGCTCTTGTACAACTCTGGACTGTTATTTGGAAATAATAAACCGGTCAACTTGCTTGTTGCACTTTAACTCGCCAATTTCCTTAACCATAGTCAAGGGACCACCTTCCAAACTGTCGCACTTCTTTTCGCCTGCAGGAACTTGGTCACTCTCATAGATGGCTTCACTAGCAATAGGAGTGATATTGAGTTCTATGGATGTCACTTCCAGAGCTTCATAAACATTCTCCGTTATAGGAGTTTTAACTGGGTTAGAAAAAGCCTTTACTTTTGTAGGAGTTGTAATTGAATCAACCAAATCTCTCTCGGCATTATTGGCAGTCACGCATTTCTCCTTGCAACCAATTCATCTTCTTCTTCATGTTCTTCCTTGATCACCTTAGATTTCTCTTTGATTTGCACAGTGAGCGGGAAATTTAAAGCTTCATTGGCCTCCATCCATTTGTCCACACTATCCACTATTTCTCTGTTTCTTAGTGCCCTTTTTCTATCCTTGTATGAAGGGGATCCTTCACTAGATTATCGAATCTTTCGATTGTTTGACGGTGGAAGTATATCAATAATCCATTCCTATTACAATAGCTTAAGGCCATATATATAGGCCACAATATAAGAAAACTCCAAAATACAAAATTGTCTCTTGGGCCACAACACTCACATAAACTAACCTAGGGGTAAAACAGGAAATACATTAAATAAGAACTAAAATTCAAAAAAACTCATAAATGAAGATTTAAATAATAGCCGTCGATTTATGACGCCTCCTGTGATAGATGCGGCAAATCTTCGTACCGATGTCCGCATCACTAACCCTAGGAAAACAAACTATTTAATGCATACAATCCAAAAGGAAATCCCTAAACAATCCCTACATTCAAATTTCCCTCCTAACTCTCTAAAAAATCCTTTCTAAATAGCTTTGTTGAAGTGGGCGGATCGTTTGGCGCATACAAGAGAGGCGGAAGAATTCGCCTGTTTCGCCCTAAGCCGGTCCCGTATAGACCGGCTGGACTGGATCGGTCTAACAAATGCTTAAAGATAAAACAAATAAAATTAGATCAGATATCCATGACACCAAAGACCACAACATTATCTTCCTGAACCAAACGGTTTGGTTCCGCTAGCCAAAAAAAATAGTGGATATGAATTAGAAAATCTAAGTAAGAGAAAAATTATGTGATGAGCAGAATCTAACCCACGGTTGTCCTTCCCCATCATGTTCTAGGTAACAGAAAAAATATCTGGTATCATGTTCGTGGAATTATATACTTTAGTGATGCATGCTTAACAATTCTGCATTCTATTTGTTTTTAGGTGCATGAATACAAGAAGAGACAGTCCAAAAGGCTCACTCTGGAGATTGGCTGTTGAGGGCTTCAATCGAATTCTTACCGTTGAGTTAATGGAAGCTGATAATAACACCAAATTGGATCCTCACATTTACAGGCATGCCAGAGCTCGTCTATGGAAAGAAGTCGCTGATGTATATGACATATTTCTTGTTGGTTCCTGTGGCCGTGCTCTTTCTTCTGATGGAAATGCAGAATCACTCAAGGCTGATGAGATGATTGAAATGACTGTATTAAATGTTCTCACTGATATGCTTCTTAAAGGAAAAATAGATGCTCCAGTTGAGGTAATCAGAATACCTATTGTTGGATGTGACTAATCTGTAATTACTGAACATGAGCGCAATAAGAGGAATCTCTCTATTTTTGTAATAGATTTTACACCGGCTAGTTTCTACCCTTGATCGCTGTGCATCTAGGACAGGATCTCTACCAATAGAGAGTCTTGAACTAATGCCTTCACACTGCAGCAGATTCTCCTTAAGCTGCTTGCAAATGATGTTTTCTTTATGCAGGTAACTTTTATAAGTTCTACCACGCGAAATTATTTTCCTTTTAAATTCCTTGGAGGCTACATTTGCAATATCATACATTATTGTTCAAATTAAATGGGAGTAATTTTTTACCTACCTTTTCAGTTATATTCCACATTTATAAACATTTATGTTTATGCGCAATATTAAAATCTGTGAAAATGTTCACAAATCTGTCAGTTTTGCTTTATTCTTCTTTTATGAATTGATCGCAAAATGTTCATGCTATGCCTATTCTGGATATCTTCATATTCTGAGTGTTCATATTTTATTATATAGCTGCCAGAAAGCCTCACATGTGATCGTTTTGAAGATTTACTTCATAATTTTCTTGTATTTGTTTCTTTCTCAGGGTAACTAACTGATTTTTTTTGCCTTGTATTTAGTTTTTCTTTTGAAGATGATTGGCCTTCAGCAAGATCAACAATTAGTTCGGTTTCGATTGATATTCTTATCAGGAGATGTGAGGTCATACTGAAGCAGTTTTTAAGTGATGAAAACGACCTAGGTGCTTCCTCCACGTCATGTTTGACAGTTTTTTAAATTTCTGTCAATCTAGAGAAATTTTTAATATTTTATTTTTCTTGTTACTGCAGGGGAACATGCATTGCCAGCAGTTAGAACCAATGAAACAATTTGTGTGCTTCAAGAGCTTGCTCGCATGATTATTCATTCCGATACAGCTTCAGTTCTGAATTTACCAGCACTCTTGAAGGTAACAGTTGAAAAGAGAGTGAGGCATGGCTGCCATTCTCATCTATTGGTTTTGTTTCCTTCATTTTGTGAGCTAGTGGTTTCAAGGTATGCATTATATCCCTCCTATTTTCAAAAAATTTAAATTTTATCCTATTAAATTTTTCCGAGTGTCTTGCAGTGAGGGAAATATACTATTCATAGTGTTGAAAAATCTAGATTATGTTTAGGCAATTTTATTAATTTTTCTGTGTTTCTAAGTGTCTTTGAATCACGGGCATGTACGAATTATACAATACATTTTCAAAATAGCATGACACTGCACACGAGATTGCTCTATATACAGATAGATATCATAAATAACTTCGTAGCATGTGCGTTCATTATTTACCAGACAACCTCAGTATGTCATTATTCGTTGTGCCAAAATAGCAGTGCTCTTTTAGGCTACTTCATGATTTAGTTCTTTCAGCTTAGGCTTGTATGAAGCGTGGATATATGCCGTGCATGATGGGAAATCAACCTACTGCTTAAAAATGGAGCACTGACCGTCTGAAATTTAGGTTTTGCGTTTAAATATTTGTAGGACTAAATAAATATTTTGAACTAAATTGCGATAGCAACAATAACATCATCAAGCTTTTATCCCACTATGTGGGGTTGGCTACATGAATCCTTTTTCTCAATTTTATCCTATTAAAAGTCAAATTCTCATTTAAATCTAATAAGGAAAGGTCATTTCTAATATTTTCTTGCCAAATCTTTTTCAGTCTATCTCTATCTTTCTTAATATAAGTCAAATCTAATACATCTACTTTTCTAACTGGGTCATCGAAAGGCCGTCGTTTTATGTGACCAAACAATCTAAGAAAACTCTCTCTAATCTTATCTTCCATTGGAGCTAGTCCAACCTTTTCACGCTTATGCTCATTTCGTATCTTGTCTCTAATAGTAAAGCGACTCATCAACCTTAGCATCCTCATCTCTGCAATACTTAATTTAATATTATGCTTCTCTTTTAATGGCCAACATTCAGTCCCCCATAATGCATTACAAGTCTCACCACCATCTTATAGAATTTTCTCTTATGTTTGAGGGGGACTTTTCTATCACATAGCAAGTCCGATGCATTCCTCCACTTCAACCATCAAGCTTGAATTCTACTGATAATATACCCATTTACTTCATCATCACTATGAACAATAGACCCAAGATATCTAAAATGTGTACTCTTATTCAAAGTCACAATCCCCCTACTAGATCTATTATTACTAAAATTACATTCCATATATTCAATTTTAGATCTACTCGAACGAAATCCTTTAGACTCTAAGGTTGACCTCCATAATTCAAGTTTACCTTCAACTCCCTCTCTAGTCTTATCAACAAGAAGAATATCATCAGCAAAAACATACATCAGGGTACAACCTCTTGCAAATGTCTAGTGAGAATTGAGAACATCCATGACTAAAGCAAAAAGATATAAGCTTAAGGCTGATCTTTGTTGTAATCCAGCTGAAATAAGAAAATACTTGGTCCAACCACCTTGTGTTTGAACACAAGTGACAACTCCTGCATGCATATTCTTAATGACTTGAATATAAGCATTATTAACCCCTTTCTTTTCTAGAACTTTCCATAGCACTTCTTTTGGAACTTTATCATATGCTTCCTCTAAATCAATAAATATCATATGTATATCCTCCTTATTCTCTCTATAATTCTCCATCAAACCTCTCAATAAATGTATAGCTTATAGTAGACCTACCTTGCATGAATCCAAATTGATTATCGCTTAATCAGTCCAAAACTGATGGAGTACATTTAGCTTTATGCTCGTATTTTGGATTTCTTTGAGCTTGTTGACCATCAGTTGGGTGTAAACTACAGCCATGTTGTTCGTGCAATATCTCTGGTCTTAATGTCGAAATTGTGATTCTCTACCATTAATTCATAATGAAATTTATAACAGCAACAGTAGGTCGTATCCGTCAAATGCGTGAACTTATATAAAAATTTGTGCTTTTTATTCATTAATCATCTTTTCTGTGGTTGATGTTTGAATTATGTTTCGTCTAAACATTCTCTATCTTGTTCGTTTATTGAGTGCTTTGAACTTCTGAAGCACATGCTTTGAATGCATTGCATTCATCCACTGCTCAAGATTGCCTTGTCTAGCTGTGTTCATTGTTTAAGTTAGTATATCAGTGCATTTATTCAAACGCTGGAAAAAAATTATTAGCCTTTTAGAGGTGCTTTTCTCCTGCTTTTTTGAGGTGTAAAAGAATATAAATTCTGCACTTGATGTTTAATTTCTAAAATGAGAGAGAGGAGATAAAGTAGGGGAGTTGTCTAATCTAAGCATGTTTTTAAGTTGAACGTAATGTATTTCCATTTCTCCATCGTACTGCTCTATATAGTTTTGTTTTAAGGGCCTTTTATTCTGTAAAAGAAATACAGGGCATATTGGATCAGGTGATTATCTTGTAGTAGCAACGGAAAATCATTTGTGATAGGAGTATTTTTTTAATATCATTCGTGGATATGAGTACTTTTGAAAAATCATAATTAAGCTTTACGATGGAAAATGATCGAGTGTAGCTATATAAATAACTGTTAAATCTTAGGCTTTATTAGGTAATTGTTTTGTTGTTTGGTGTTGCGTTGTATGAAAGTAAAACTATTGTACTCTTACATAAATAGATTTTTTACTCCCATGGCTATATTTTTGTGATCATGAAATTGCAGTGAGAATGGCAGGGAAAAGTCCAAGAAAATTTTTTAGCTGAATCGTTTTAGTAAAATTGGGCTTTATTATCTTAAATTTAATTCTGAATTTCATTAGTTGTAAATTATTGAAATATCAATGACGAGCATATAATATCTCTGGTGGCCTCTTTAAAGAGAATTTATTATGTGCGGTCGCCGGACGGTATTCAGAGGCAAATCAGGATGCACCACGCCATTTTTTTTGTGTACCGGTGTTGTGTACTTGGTGATGTGTCACATTTTGATTCGTCTCTAAATTGTCCGATGACCGCACAGAATAATTTCTCCTCTTTAAAACTGTAGCTCCTATATGTTTTCAGTTGCTCCTCTAAATTATGACTCTCCTATTTTATATTTTGCAATTTTTTTTTCTTCTTATTTTTGGTTATACAATGAGGGATATAGGATTAGGCCGAGTCATATAGTCAGACAACTCAGTGGAAGATATTTATCATTTTATTTCTCACAAACAAATAAGTCATTGCAGCCATTGAATCCATTCATGAAGTCCACACCAATGAAAGTTCTCTAGCATGAGCCATTTCGAGACTCTTGTTGGTTTTTGGTAGATTACCATCTCCTTTATGAGATTATTTGTTTGTTGCAGGGAATCCAGAATAAGAGAGCTAGTGCAAGTGCTTCTTAGACTTGTAGCTGAGGAGTTGGGCTTGCATAAATCAACTGATCCAGATTCATAATTACTACAAATCCTCTTGTAAACTTTTGTCATCCATCGCATGGTTGTTTTGTTCGTAATTTTTTCTGTAGCTTTTTCTCTTTTCACCATTCATTGTAGCATTATTTTAAAAACTGAAAGAAAGAGAAAATATAACTTTTCTTCCCTTATTGTAGCAAATTTTCTCAATTCAATGAAGTGAGTTCAACTGATAAATGGAGTGATGAAAGTCATTCACAAATTTTTTGATGTTTTTTAAAGCAATTTTTTAGTATAAAATTTTTTTTTTTTTATTAAAAAGTTGTTTTTTAAAAAACAGCAAGAAAGTTATCTGAAATAAAATAAAAATTTGAACTAATTACAACCTTATGGGTATTAACCAAGTATTTGATAATTTAATTAAGGGCTCATTGTAAAATATCTATAGACATTATTTGATTCATTAAGGGATTGCTTGGCTGGCTAAAATGAATATATATACATATAATGCAAAAGGAATGCAATGGAAATGAAATTTTTTAAGAGGTGTTTGGATGAGTATAAAAAATAAGTTGGTTATTTATTTATTTATTCATTTATTTTTTAGCATGAAGTAAGATTAATAAAGTGTAAAGTATCAAGATGGAAGGTGGTAGTGGTGGTTGGTGGTGACAAGACCGATTGTTTGCGGTGAAATACATTTTCAACCGAAGCTGGCTGAGTTTATTTTTTGTTAAAATTGAATTATAATGTTCTATTCTATAAAAATAATATTTTATTATATATTCTTTTTCCATCCAATAAAAAATCAATATTTTTAAAAGAAATAGTTTACATCAAATAAAACAGCTAAAATATTAACATTTTTTATCATATCAGCTAAAGAAAGCAAACCTAACTTTCAAATTACTATAAGTGGAAGGAGTTTATATTTTTTCAAAAGAATCTCCATTAAAATACATTTCATCAGGTTTATCATTTGCTATATATTTTTATCTGACCATCTAAAATAACTAGAATATTAATAAACTTGCAAGTAATTATAAAATAATGATCAATAATTACTTCAAAAAAAATTTATATTTAAAAGTTAATTTAAGTTGTAAGAAAGCTGTCCCAAATGAAATTTGAATCTAACCGAAGTAGGCAATGGTTCAAAATGGTCAAATCATTTAAATATGTTGTATCTTAATTTTTAGCATTTATCATCTTCTACCCGTCTCTACTCTATCATGATTTTGATGGAGTAATATTGGTTGTACTGAGTTCTCATCTCTCCTCAGTAACCCTCATGGATAAGAGAAATTATTTTGTATGGACGCCGAACGCAATTTATCATTTGAAGATCAATCAGAATGTGTAACGTCATCAGTACCGAGCACAATATCGAGCTGTGGTACCGAGCCGGTTCATGTGGCGTATTCTGGTTGGTCTCTGGACGGCATTCGGCATTCGCACATAATAATTTGCCCAGCCCGCTTTGCTAGTTGGATTAAATTAATAGCTTCCCAACCCTACCTTAGTTCTTAGGACTACCTTAGCTACTTTAGAATTTGAGTTATTTGAGATTCATCAAATATATATACTCTCAATCATTTATGAGTGTCAACTTGTTAGTTTTTAGCCTCGCACTCAAAACCGATTATATATTGCTCTGCCTCTTTATGATGCCCTCTACTCCCCAATGTGAGGACAAGGCATCTAAATATCATAGAATCCCATGTAGGTTGATCTAATGGCCCTTAAAAACCTACATCAAATATTTCCCTTGTCAATTATCAGACTATAAAGCAACACAAATTGAACTTGAATTGTTGATAAATTTGAGTTCTGTGACAGTGGAGGCTAGCTACAACTCGCCATGAGACAACTCGTCAAGGCCGAGAAGGAACACTATAAATCAACACAAAAGAACTCTAAGGAGATTTTAGGCCAAACAGAACAAGCAAAATCGGTAGCTGTAGGTTGCCAAGTTGTTTATAAGGCCAGTGGAATGAAGCTATCATGAAGTGAAAATTATTGGGTTCGGACACCGGACGTCGTTCAGAGCCCAATGAAAATATGCCACATCACCTCCTACTCGGTATTGAGCTCGGTACCAAGCAGTATTGTACCGAGCTCGGTACTCTGAAGTACCAAACGTAAGCTGTGTCCGGTGTCTGAACCCAATAATCTCACATCATGAAGAGGGCCCCAAGGCTACAGCTAGGAAAATTATAGTTGGATATATGGCATATGGGAATGAAGTGATCAAGGCGACGAAATTGCTAAGGAGACGACACACTTGCTGACAACTAATATATATGCCGAGCAATCAGCAATAGATCAAGATGACAACTTTTTATGGGCCTGGATTGTGGTAAGAAGCCTATTGGAAGGTGATTGGAGTTGATCAAAGAGAGAATGATTGGCGAAGCCAAGCTGGTAACTCTAAAGTGTGAAGCTATCGGCTAAAACAAGGGGTCTTGAATTAACTTAGGCTTCATTTGGGGAGGCTTTCTTGCAGCTTCATAAAACAGCTTTTTAGTACAAAAATTATAATTTTTATACTAAAAAGTCATTTTAAGAAGCAGTAAAAAAGTCATCCCAAACAAGGCTTTAATCTACAAACGATCAAATTAATTCAAAGAAAATGGAGAAGTGGTCAAATCTATATCAACCTAGGAGAGGTGAAACTGACGCTTGTCTGTATTAACTAAAAAAAAAAAAACTCTAAACCCCAAACTAAAATTTAAGCCTGCAAATTCTAAATTAAGTTATACCCAAGATTTGCTGTATTATCTCACTTATATTATTATCTAACTATTTCCAATTATTGAAAACTTATCGCATGCACTATTCGGCTTCGTTTCGGATTGCTTTCTTATTACTTCTTAAAACAGGTTTTTAGTACAAAATTCTAATTTTTGTACTAGAAAGCAGCTTTAAGAAGCAGTAAGAAAGTCGTCCCAAACAAAACCTTAATCATCTCTAAAAATACCATAACAAGATGCTTAATAATTAGATTAAATAGAAGAGAATGAGAAAGGCTAGTGATGTAATCAATGAAGAATCATTTGCAAAGCATTAATGAATAAATAAAATTTAGATAAATACTTTTAAATCTTAGTTGCTTGATTAGAGTAATGCTTTTAATAATTTCTTCTTAATAAATCCTTTAAGTGATCAATAAACCAATCACAAAACAATGGAATATATTCTTCATATTCTGCAATCTCAATTAGCAATATGCTAATCCTTCTCCCCAACTTGCATATATTTATTTTGTTTCCTTTATGAGCTTTATTTAGATCTGCCCAATAAGCACATAATAGAATGAAATATTGGTTTGTTTTTAAGAACTTGAGCTGTCTGAATCAGAATCTGCTTTGTGCTTTAAACTGATATTATCCCATCAATTGTGCCCTAAATTTTACCTTCTTTGAACAACTTTAGCTTGCCACCATGGATGAGCATCTTATCTCCTCATAGACTTGACTGTTGCTTGAATCATGCATTTTGCAGAAGCAAACCACCTGTAATTATCTTTTTGCAGCATAGTTCTCTGGGGAAGTTTTAAAGTTAGGTATGATTAATAATTATAAAAAAAAATATCATTATTTTTTTAAATATGTGAAGTCTCGAGTCAAGTACCAATCGTCCGTTTAACAGGTGACTTTGCTATGATTATTTTTTTAAAAATTAATTTTGCATTAGTAATAAATGTTTGATTATTTTTTAATGTTAAAATATTAGTACTAAACGTTTGTTTAATTTTACATTTCTACATCCATATTAGCATGTGAGTTTAGCATATCATATTCTCATGTTCCATAATAAATTTGTAGAGCGTGAAAACATGATAGGCTAAACTCACATTCTAATATGGATGTAGAAATGCACATATATTAATACATACTTATAACTCCATTTTTATCACCTCCTACCTACTTTAGGTTGGTACATAATAGAATAAGAACATAATAACAAAGTATTTTCAACACAAAGCCATAATATAACAGAGTAGTATAGAGTAAATGTACGTTCACATTAGGCTCAAGCATAGAATCCAAAGTACACTTTTCATTCAAAAACAATGCTCTAAAAAGTCATGAAATGTACAATGATGCATATGCATTACATAAGTGAGGAATTAAAGCATGTGTAGATAAGATATCCAGTTATGCCAGAAGTCTCCCAAATTTTTAGGTGCCTATTCAAAATTTTCAGAATATTATAAATTAACATATCATTTTGCCAGCTCTACTATGGTTTAGAAGCGTGTGTGTGTGTCAAAGCGCTATACTTCAGAATTTTCATATTTATTAAGAAAATTTATTTCACATATTTGAATTATTACAATATTCTTTAAAAATTTGTCCTAGTTCTCTTCAAATTTTGCTCCTCTTTGTTATGAAGTAAAATTAGTCAGCAATAGTGATAGCTTCATAGACAAATGCAATACAAGGAGAAAAACAATGCGAATATCTTGATCTGTTTGTATTCGAATTGACACATTTTATTATGTGTTATGTATTTTAGATCTCTCTTGTTATCTTTTAATATAATTAAACTATTAGATAAAATAAGTAAATTTAAAAGATAAATATAACTAAATTATTAGACATTAATAACCATAATCATGACATGTGTTTAAATATTTAAACTTTTTATTTTATTTTTAATCAATAAAAATCACTTTGGTCACCCTCTATTTCCACTGACTTTACCATCTTATGTGTTATTCAATTAAATAAAATAATAATTCTTTAAATTATTCCCTCAATATTCTTTCACATCCTAACCTAGAAAGATAATACAATGATACAAGAGAAGATGGTATGTGCAAAGACTATAACTATGGATATAGACAAAATAAAGCAAAATACTATTTATTTTGCTCAATAAAATCTAATATGCTTTGATGGTTGTCTAAGCTCCCCTAAAATGCTATGGGAGGTTAAAGATGATGGCAAATAGGGAAATTTTATTCAAATACAAAGAACAAAAAACAATATAAAATGAGAAAAAGAATATCAATACATACAAATATACAAGAATTTCAGAGAAATTCACTCAATTGATGACTACATATTTTGTTATTTAAGTGTAGTTTTATTATGAAGAATTATATCTCTAATTTCATAGATACCAAATAAGATGGTGTCACGACTATTATAAAAAAATAATTTAAGATAGCCAAAATATATTTAAATTTCTCAAAACTTCTTTAATGTTACAACAAAATCTTATGTATCATATTTTCTTTATAGGGGAAAAAAAAAGCTAGGCTTTAAAATTTAACATGTGATTATTAAAAACTTAAAATTCGACAAACACAACATTGATGTATACGTATAAAAATATTATAATTGATCAAGTAGTGATAATGACATAGTTGTGGCAGTAGGTGTTACCAGGAAACAACTGGTGGCAGTAGCGATGGCTTACGACTGGGAGTAGAAAGATGTGAGTTGCATTTGAAAATTGGTCATAACAGTTGATTTCATAATACTCCAAAAAATAAATTAAAGGATAAGTTTCAACTTCATTTAAATTTATTTCATCAAACTAAACAGCTAAATTTTTAAAATTCTTGCATTTGAAAGATTTGTATACACAAAATTCCTCAAACCAAGCAACTCTTTATTGAATAAGAAAAATGAGGGCATTATCACCATTATGTAAAGTAGGGGCTATAAATGCAAAAGAATCTTATTCTTCTATCCATGATGCTTTGGTCTACCATAATTCTCCCTTTCTTGCTTGTCAATGGACCTAAAATTTTCATTAATAGATGCTCCACCATTAATGACTTAAATTCTTACATTACATCAAAACAAAAATATACCATTGATTATCCCTTATACTCAATAGAAGATTCTCTAAATATCAAGAAATTATTAGGAGTGAATAACAATAATAATAATAATAATAATAACTTGCATTTATTTTACGCTCATTCAAAAAACTTCAAAATATTTTAAAAATAATACATTCTTGTTACATTATATTTATTTTCAAGCCAACTAAATAACAATGGATTCCTTTTATGCTTTGGTTACAAAGTAAAAAATAGAACTCATAACGATTTGTTTCAATTGTAGTTGCTATTTAATAGTATTTAATTATTTATGATAACGATGATTTGTTTTCCCTCATATGTATGTGGTCACAATCGAAATGATATAATTTGAAAGAAGTAATATTACTAGAAACGATTATCATATTAAAAAAATTCAATATAAATTAAAATAAAAAAAGAAATTGTGTTAGTTAAAAATTGTTTAACCAAAAAAGATATTTTAATTTGAAAAAAGTAAATTATAATCATAAAGGAATTATTTTTAATTTTAAGAAAATCAAAGGAAGTTTTAATTTTCAATATAAAAAATTACATCACATCTCCAATATAATCTTAATTTTAAATAAACGAAAAAATATTTTTAATTTGTAGTTATGTAACATTTTTAAGCTAAAAAAGATATTAAATATTTCAACTCAGAAATATAAAGTAAAAAAAAGGTAGTTCGATTTATTATTATTATTATTATTGGAACATTTGAGCTGTGTTATTGTATTTTAGAGATTTGCTTTATTTTGAAGTGTAAAATGAGTTTTTCGGTTGACGAATCGCTTAGGAAGAGGAATATAGAAGAAAAACTGCAATTCTTCACTGTACAAATCCGGCAGAATCACGCCGCCGCCAGAGACATTCCCATTAGATACCTTCAAAAACTATCCTCCCTCATCTATCCCCGCCCCTTTCGGAACCCTAACAATGAGCTCACCACGGATACACTCGGCCGTCGCGAGCGCCGGCCGAGTTGACGCGGGCAGCCGGACTCTCCATCGATCAAGCTGAAGCTCCTCTTCCTCGAATCCAACATCGCCTGCTTCATTATTCCGAACAACCAGCTTCATAATACCAGGGTGAATCTCGATGAATTGGGTGCGAAAGCTGGCACTGACGCCGATCGCCGTTGCAATGAACCGGAAACCGGTGGGTTCCTCCTCCACATGGACGTCAGCGTCAGCACAGAATGGAAGCTCAAGTACCTTGCTGAAGACGTGGGGAAGTCGACGGAGCTTCTTGAGCCGGCCGGTGGCCGACACCGCCGGCGACGCCGGGCCAAAGGCCATGTTCCGCTTCCTCGGGGTAGGGTGAACCCTCATGTTCTACTGCAGGGAATAGGAAGCTGAAACGGTGATGGGAAACGAGAGGAATCGTAGAACCCTAACCCTAGCTCCAGCGCCGACGATCCCAAGTCGCTAGATGGGTAATTTGAAAAGCTTAGAGGGGCCAGGAGGTCCCTTTTCAGTCACGTATAGAAGAAGAGCGTAATATAGATCAGGGCTTAAACGATTGTCCAAATCTTTCTTTAAATTATCGAAAATGCCACTGAAAAGAGTATAACAGCCGCGGAATCAATTTTAGCCGTCCGATGAGGTCAGGATTCGATGGGGAATGGCCTTGTAGATCTGATCAGCCGGACAGAAATGGTTACACGTATGTAGACATGCAAAACGTGCCAAATGGTTATAAGGATTTACTGCGAGCGCCGAACAGCGATAAAGAAAATGTACCAATCATTTGAATCTAGTAATTACAAGGTGTAATTAAGTTAAGCCAACTCATGAGTTTTTTTTTTAAAGACATTTAAGTCAATTAAGATAATATTTATATATCTTTATTAACATTAAATTCTAAAAACTTATAATCACGAGCCGTATTGTGACAATATTAGAACAAACAAAATTTTGAGTTATTTGAACTCGATATAAAAATTTTGAATCCAAGTCATCCAATGTATTATTTAGGTCGGATATGCATTAGACTCGAGTCCGCCTAAGTAAATTTATTAAATTATATATTTTTTTTGTTATTTTTGACCTTACACGCCTAAATTGGCTAATAGCAACAAATTTAGACCAAATTTGTCACATTTTAAATATTTTTTATGTGAGATTAAATTAGGATTGAGATTTTTGACAAGTTCTGTTATTGATTATGTTCCTATCAAATTATTTTTTGATTGAGCCCAAACTCAATAAATGAATCAGATTTGTAGCTCACCCTAAATCAATAGGTTTTAGATTAGAGTTATGTGCTTAATGGTCCGAAAAAAAAAACAAAACAAAATAGGTGATAAGATTTGACACTTAAGACAGGCCGAATCACCATCTAGAATTCTTCCAATAGATTTATTTTTTTCTTGGTGGAAATCGCATGAGAAATGGGACCCTTGGGGTCCAGCAGCAGCCTGCATCAGGCAAAAGTCTAATCACCACCCCCCCGGGCCCTGTCTCTTTGTTCCCATTACCCTCAATCAAACGAATTTTTATTCCGTCAGGTTACCTGATGTAGCTCTACGTCAGGTAGCCAATAATATGTCGCCACGTGCTCTTACTCTTTACCGCGCGGCCCGACAACCCGACTCGGACCGAATCCGGGATTACTATGTTCGCGTATTGCTCGGTATTGCTAGGTATTACTCGATATTGCTTGACAATAACGAGAAATACCGCTCTGTGAAGATCAATACCGAACAATACCTAAAAGAACTCGGTATTGCTCAGTATTGGTCTTCACATAATGGTATTTTTCATTTTTGTCGAGCAAAATCGACCAAAACGGAGCAAATACCGAGCAATACGCGAACATAGTAATCTCGGATTCGGTCCGAGTCGGGTTGTCGGGCCGCGCGATAAAGAGTAAGAGCACGTGGCGACATATTATTGGCTACCTGACGTAGGGCTACATCAGGTAACCTGACGGAATAAAAATAATGAAAAGAACAGATCCCACAAATTAACCTTAGTAGATGATGAAATTATTACGTGCAATCAACAGACGTTACTTGGAGGTTAATCAGAACGTGTCACATCACCATTTTATTGTATACCAATATTATATATTGGATGATATGGTGCATCTTGATTCATCTTCAAATAATTTGATGACCGTACGTAATAATTTCTACAGCAAATGACGGTCAATATCATACTTAGCGGATAATCATGACATGAATCTTTTAAAAAATTGTGTTATTTTTTATTAGATTTAAATAAGAATTTGACTTTTAATAGGACACAACGGCGAAAAAGACTCATGTAGCAAACCCCACGTAGTGGGACAAATGCTTGAGGTTGTTGTTGTAATATTAAGAATGAGAATATAGGGGAAATTTTTAGAGTACGCATCATTAAAAACATAATTAGGTGATTAATTTATGTGAGCAGTTCCTGAAGCAATTTTTTCTCATGAACAGCTGGAATAATGTACTAATCAAGTCACCTCTACTAAGAGTATAAATTCAAGTTCATTATGTCCCTATTCTTCATCTTTCAGACTGTCATGTGAACGAACAGTAAGCAGAAAGCTTGCAATTAAAATGCAGTAATTAACAAAACCAAGTTGGCAAATCACAATAGGAGAGAACTGAGAAGCTAACCAGTCGAAATGATCAAGTAAAAGCAACTTCTGATGGAGACTGGTTATCTTCAAATACTTTGAACCGCTTTAACAAACTAGACTTGCAATTACCAATTTCATCAAACTCAGCAGAATCTGGAGCAGAAGCAACAATAGCAGCCGCATTAGCTTGTTGCAATATCTCAGCAACAGCATCTGTAATTAGAAATTGAAAATCAAATCTAAAGTATTCAGATTGGGTATTCAAAATCAACTATTAGCAAAAGGAAGAAAGCATGCTTTATGGCAAAATTTTGGGCCAGGACATCTTGATCAAAATTTAGTCAGAACTTAGGCTTCGTTTGGGATGGCCTTCTTACTGCTTCTTAAAACAACTTTCTAGCATAAAAGTTAAAATTTTTGTACTCAAAAGCTGATTTAAGAAGCAGTATAAAAGCCATCCCAAACGAAGCCTTAGAGGAGTCAAATTTATTTTGAGATTAATGTATTTTACATACTGATTACACTCATCTCAGAATAAATCAAATGATTTTGAATGTGAGGCAAACAAAAAATTTGATTAGAATATCCTGATGTAATGTTTTCAGTGTTTTCAAGATTAATGTTGCCGAATTAACAAGAGAAGCGTACCAGAGTGAGAAAGAGCAAGAAGGGCTTTCAAAGCTTCTTTGCGCGTCTTGTCATCTCTAGCAGTTTCCAACATTATCAAAAGATCTTGAGCTCCACCCATCTCTGCTACTTTTATCCTCCTTTCATCTACAAAATTTGACAAATCAAGACCAAAAATTCCAAGATTTACAACCTACAAATTAAGCTTTACCAATCATTGATCCTTAGTGCATAAATGTGGCAATTTATAAGCTGCATAAATTTAAGTGAACAGAATCTTGGATAGTAGATTTGATGCCTTCGGTGAAAACATAAATAAAGATAGGAAGATATATTATTTTTAAAAAAGATTTCAAAAATGTAATGTTTTCAATACAATTATCTAGAAAATCGGTGAAGCTTAGGATCATTTTTTGTTAGATTCTGATAATTATTTAGTAAACAATTAATATGATTAGTAAGATTAAATAATTTTATATAAATTTAACCCGATATATTTGGCTTAAAACCATGAAGATTAGTAAATGAAGGGGCAGACTAACCTCGTTTGAACACCTTTAACAGATGCGACAACTACTAACGGACTGAACGGGGCTCGTAGGAAATGTTCATTCTAGGCTTGAATTAAAGCCCCTAGGAAGACTTTCACAACCCTCCACCGATTGATGCATAGGGTAGTAAAATGGATGCAGATCAGGATATAATAAGACTTAAGTGCTTCAAGGCCATCTTCACGCAAAATTATAATTTAATTGGTCCGAACACAAAACCCAAAATTACTATTCATGATCAAGTCATCAATCTACCATCATTATTCACAAGAGGAAGCTCATTTCCACATATGATTCCTACAGACATGGATTGAAATAATAAGTAGAGGGTACTTTAAAAATGCGATTAAATCCTATGATTAAGGATAACACTAAGACAATGAGAACTCATTATATCCATTGAGTTAGATTTTCTAGAAGACATGATAGTGATTATATCGGGTTTAATCAATGCAGTGTGCGTTAGCTAAATGAGAATGAAGTTCTCATGTGCAGTTCATGGGTTTAAGATAATGGCATAACTTGCATATTTTACGAGGAAAAATATATTTGCAGGTTATATGGCATATTTAAATTTGTGCTTGCTGATCTATCATCTCCTTTAGAATGAATCCAACGTCCCAGCTTGAATGAGAATTATTAATTGAGTCACTTTGACCTTTCTTTGTGTGAATAGGTTCAATGCATGGTCTCTTCACCTTTTTGTGATTTTGTTTAATTCTTTTGAGAATGCAAGCAACCAAACGGTAATTAATGACTTAGAAAATGAAGAGAAATAATTCGATAAATGTAATTTAAGCATCTTTTAAGAGTCGCTCGTTAGGTCAAGCAAAGTTTGCTTGAGTTGAGCCCAGTGAGAATCTAGATAAGTCCATGTTGACTTAAAACTCAAGTTACTCATTAGATCGCTTATTTTTGATGTGTTGATATTTTACAGAATTAAAAATTTTTAGGTCAATGCTTCCCTCTTATCCTTTAAACCTATTTAAATTCTAAAATCAGCTTCATAATAACAATAATATCAAGCCTTTATCCCACAACATGGGGTGGGCTATATGAATCTTTTTTTCTCCATTGTGTTCTATTAAGAATCAAATTCTCATTTAAATCTAATAAAATTATAATTTTTAATATTTTCTAATATAGTATTTTTAGGTCTACCTCTACCTTTCTTAACATTGATCAAATCTCCTAACCGAGTCATCGGAAGGCCAACGTTTTTGTGACCAAACCATCAAAGGAGACTCTTGAATTTTATCTATCATTGGAAGTAATCCAACCTTTCCACATAAAAGGATTCATATAGCCGATGTCTAGTAAAAAGATTCATGACTAAAGCAAAAAAATATGAGCTTAAAGTTGATCCTTGATGTAATCCAACTTAAATAGGAAAATACTTGGTCAAACCACCTTGTATTGGAACTTGGAAGTTTGGAACACAAGTAATAACTCCTACATACATGTCCTTAATGACTTGAATATAAGCATTATTAATCCATTTCTTTTCTAGAACTCTCCAAAGCACTTCTCTTGGAACTTTAACATACAATAAATATCATATGTAGATCCTTGTATTCTCTCTATACTTCTCCATCAAACCTTTCAATAAATGCATAAGACCGGACTTCATGAATTTGATATGCTAGTTGGAGTTTAGCTTGTGCCCCTTTTCAAGCATGGTGGTAAATCTAGGTTGAGGCTACCTAGATTCCTAGTGGGGTTTGGATTATAAGTCCCCTCGTAGTATCTTGCATTAGTTAGGTTGTGAGTGTTATTACTGAGTGTACAGTGTGCCCTTTGTAGATCTAGGATCAAAGGCTGGCGGTATAAGTATATCGTTGCATGCCTTATCATTGGGCAGGTTCTCACTATTCGAAGGCTATAAATCGCACACATTCGCTTCACATTGATGGTGCTGCTTCCATCCTTCTCTCACGCATGCTTGGTATAAGATAACTTCTCTTCTGATTTCTCCTCTTTGGACAAGCCGAGTGCTTGTGTGATCAGTGCATGTTGAATAGCCAGATTGAGCCTATCTTCATTTGGATTAGGAGAGCCTAAATATCCCATTATGCGCCAAACTCCGATGAGAATAATATAGCGTCCTTAATCGAGGGTATTCTTAAGTCAAGACCTAAGATGCAATAAACCACGGGAGCATGCGCCCCTGGGAAACTGATACCCAAATAAACTTTATTTGAGCTAATGTATCGAATTGAAGAAATCTCATGATTATTGGGTTATATATATTATTATCCATCGAGGTGTGTAGGTTAAAGCCACTATCCTCCATGATTAATCATATGTATGATCTCATTTGCTCTCATATTGGCATGCTTGCGTAGAATGTAAAGGCCTACGACCAATTTATCTTATGGGATTGTGCGATTGTAACCTTTGTATTCTGACCACCGCTAGTAGCTTCCTTTCGGAGACACACAAATGCTTCTTAGAGATATAGAAAACAAAAATTGGATTGTGGGGAAAAGTATCAATACATGTTTTATAACATAATTATAACTGCTGATCTATTAACTCTTTTGGAATGAATCCAATGTGCAGGCTTCAATGGTCATTGATAAATAACTAAGTCACTTAGAGCTTTCATCTACTTTTGAACGAGTCCAATATATGGCCTCTCACATGTAGTGATCAATGTTATACCAATACACCTATTTATGAAGCCACGTTGTATCAGATACGTGTAGAACACGGATACGCGTCCAATACGGCACCGATACGTGTCGGATACAACAAAGCCACATCCAATTAAAATACTATTTAATTTGAAATGGGCACGTGTATCGAATACGTGTGTCAATTGAAAAATAAAAAAATGAAAAAAAAAACATTTGTATTAAGTTCTGTGTTTGTGAGCAACTCTCTCATTTCCAAGCTCGCGAGACGAGAGGCGTTAGGGCTCCGTTATTTCGTCTTCATCATTTACGTCGAAGGAGCCAATAGGAGAAGCGGCCGACGTCGAGCAGGCCAGGAGACCGAGGGTTTCTTTGGAGGAGTCCATTACGCGAGACGAGCGAACGTCTGTTTCCATCGTCGAGATTGAGGGCTTACATGAGACGAGCGAGACTGAAGGCTTCTTACGCGAGACTGTCATCAAGACCGAGGGCTTCTACGCGAGATTGTCATCGACACCAAGGGCTTCCTATGCGAGACCAAGGGCTTCTTTTCACACACGAAAAGTTTTGGTTCTTCTATTGTCTTATAATATTGCTCACATGCCTTGTTATTTTCATTGAATGTTGCTTAAGGATGAACTAGCTCCAATGTTACGAGTCATTTGGCATGGTTCAGATGCCCACATCATGGCTCTATAATCGGATCATTAATTCTTACAATCTTCTTAATCTTTGCGCATTAAGATTTGCATTCCAATTGAAGTAGTCATCACAAGTCAATTGTCATTGTCCAAAGAGAAATTCCAAGCCAAAGCTTGAAATTCATTCATGTAAAAGTCTTAGTTCATTCATGAGTCATTATTTGCAATTATTCATTTACATTCACTTGAGTTCTTTAACTAGCTCTCATGACATTTGAATAACTTAACTTTTCTTTGGTTAGCATTTTGCATTCAAATTGAAATGACAATTCCTTAGCAATCCATTGAAGTTTTGATATCATTTTCAAGTCAAGTTCTTTATGATCCACATCGAGTTCCCTGTATCACTTTCAAGTTCAAGCTCCTTGTTGTTCAAGTCTTGTTCAGGTCCCCTGTGGTCCAACTTAAATTTTCTTGCTTGAGTTCAAATATTCAAGTTCCTCTTCAAAGTTGTTCAACTCAAATTCATTAAGCAAGTTCAAATTTTTCAAGTTCAAGTTCTTGTAGTTTTTGTTGAGTTCAAGTCCAAGCAATCCTTTTAAGTTTGAGCTCAAGTCATTTTGGTCCAATCAAGTTCAAGTTGAGTTCTGTTTGTTTGAGTTCTAGTCCAAGTCATCTTCTTTTTAAGTTCTCTGCATTTCCAGTCAGAATTTCGACAGCCTCCCGACGTATCCCTCGTTTAGGGGAAAACTACAGGAGTATGGGCATTCTCACCACGTGCAATAAAGGCGTGTATGGCAGGTGTCCTTAGACACCGCAGTTGTGATCTTTATTCCCACCAAGCACAATAAAGGCGTGTATGGGGTCTTTGAATGTACATATTTTAAAACACAGTTGGCTTTCCCCCCGCTCGAGGGTACAAGTAATCCCGCCTCGCCGTAGGCGACGCACCGAGTTCTCAT